GGAGACCCAGGCTGCAGCCCCCGCCCCGCCGCGCGCGCGCCCACTGCGCTGGCCTCGACGCGGGCTCCAGGCCGCTCTGGGGCTGGGAATTAGTTAATGGGGTCGGCATCCAGGGAAAGCGGCGAGCGGGTGGGGCAGCGGGTGTCTCCTGGCACAGAGGCTTAGGGGCTGCGACAAACCGCACAATCTGGGAGACCTGTCCATTTGGTCAGCGGAGGCGAGGGACGTGGGTGGCGGGCGTGGGTACTTGGTGGCCAGCGTGCCTGGGTTTCAGGGATAGAGTGAACAGCGTTGGGGCTCTTAGGCGTCACCTCCACAGAGGGCGGTGGTGGGCGCTCTGAGGTGACAATAGAACACTTGGCAAACCAGCTCTCCTCACCAACACAGGTTGGGGGCCGGGGACCCGTGCCAACCCCAGGTCAGAGGGCATTTGGACAGCGGGGAGGCTTTCCGCGCGGGGCAGCGATCAGAGGGGCTGCGCTGACATTTCCACGACCTCCGAGCCCGTCCTCCCGATTCCGCCGCTTTTCTATGGGAAAAAGGAGCTCGAGGGCAACTGGATTTCGGTGAACTCGTTCTGACTGCTCGTCGGCCTCCTTCTTCCCACACTCACGCTCAACCCTTGCCCCACGCGGTGCTTGCTCAGCAGCGGAACCCGGGCCCGCGGGCAGTTTGCCGCTGGTGCCGAAAGCCGCCCTAGTGGCGGGGAGGGACGGAGATGGCGAGGTGGCCCCACCCCTTCTGCAGATCAAGTGTAAGCGAGGCGCGGTTGGAGTGTTAGGAGCCCAGAGGGGCGAGAGAAAGAAAACTCTACCTTCTGGGGGGCTGTCTTCCACGGTTGTAGGAATTGAAGTTGCATTTCAGAGAAGCATGCTAGGAGTAGGTGGCTCCTGTTTGGGCGAGATTTTAATTTCTTCAATGCTTTCTGCAGGGAGGCCTCGAGTAGGACCGGAAGACACCAAGCGAAAAGAATGAAAATGAGCTCTCCAACTTCCAGAATTACCTCTGTCTTGAAATTATTTGAAAACTATCATCTTTTTCCATTTGACTTTGATTTGTGTCCATCTTTTCTCTTTGTAAAACAAATTCCCTAAGTTTAAAAGCATTATTTCCCTAGTCGCCCCCCCCAAGCCTTTCAGTACAGCTTGATTTCATTTGTTACAAACGCTAAAATGAAAAAGAAAGACACATTCAGGCTCCTCATCACACACACAGCATCTGTTCCCTTTCTCTCTCCTTTGGATCTCTGTGCAGTACCAGAACGTCATGAGGGAGCTTAATCAAGCAAAAGATAGGTCGGTAATGCAAGATGCCCGAGACTTCCTTAACTTAGCTGCATGCACACACAAGCACTATTAATTCTGCAACTGAGATGATTTTGTTTGTGCATATTTGTGATGTAGCTAGCATTGTTTTACACCCGGTGATCACTCAGATCAAACAAGCAAATGCTCTTCTCAAAGTCCCTCCAAACAGAAATCTGCCAAGAGTACACCTGGGCTAGCTGGACAGGAAATGAAGGGAGTGGATGTAGGGTTTTTGTAAATTTGAATGAATAAAGGCTGAGAAAACTAGATTCTGAGGAAAAGTACAAAGGCTGCTGAAAAGAAATAATGGAATGATGGGAGGGGCCACGGTGGGTCCATCTATGGATCTACACCTCTCCACGGAGAGGCCAGCAGCTTGATGTAATAGAAAAGAAAGGGACGGACATTTTACTATCAGCCAAAGCATATCTTTTTAGACAGGCTGCTTGAAATTCTTGGCATGGCTGAGATGTGCTGGGTGGATTTCATGACAGATACACTTGAGAGAAGGGCGCAGTTGGAATCCCAGCCAAACAGAGGGTCCCAGGGAAACCTGTTGAGTATCATTGCTCCAAATAACAGTGAGATCAAACTGGTTCAATGCATAGTACTAGTGAAATGCACAGTAGATTGCTTTAGGTGATTGTAACAGTTTTTCTTATGACTCACTAAAAGAGCATCTGACGGAAGCAGCATCTTCTCCAATTCTGTGAGAAGTTAATAATGCACATATAACTGCATCCTGTGCAGATGTTAGGAAATGGTAGTAGTATTGTGATAAACTGCACATTCTCTGTTCTCGAAGTTTCCTTCAAAAGGAAAAAGTATTCCAACACTGTTGTGAAACTTGGGTTTGTGTGTATTTGCTATACACAGTCTCTAATTCATTGAAATACCAAGATGTCTGTGGTTCATAGAATATTATTTTGAAAATAAGGACTCCTTCGGGTATATACTGTGGTAGGTGATAGAATATTATGCAAAGTACTGTCTAAACTTTTTTTGTGTCATCTTGGAACTCCACGAGTTTCGGGTGTTTGTGCTGTTGCTTTAACGCTTCTGGAAATACCTATGAAAAATATCATTTAAGAAAAATTTAAAAAAAAAAAAGAAATAAACAGGCCCAAAGAAAAGCTAACAAACTGCCACCCAGAAGCTGAGTGTTCATGCTCAGCTGCCTGGACCGCAAAATTCTATTTGTTCAGCATTTTGCTCGGTTTTGCTAAGGAGACAAAAAAAGAATTTTGATTTACCAAGACGTGACCAACGCCAAATACCCTTAGCTGGACGCTTCTAGCACTCTTTTAAATAAATTCAAGAGGCACTTGTGTGGTCTCAAAGATTGTCCAGATGAAACGAGGCTGAAACGTTATGGAGGAGGGGAGGGGACTGCCTGAATAGACGGCGAGGACGGCGACCGCGGCCGATAGTCCCAGGCGTGAACTGTCCTGAGGGGTCAAACTGTTCATCTTCAGCCCCTCTTTCAGTGTGCAATCCTACTTTACGAGAACAAAAGCTCAAAGCGGGCGGTTATCAAGAAATGGGAACACAATGATTTAAACTCATCCCCACGCCTTAGAAAGAAAGGGGCCCGGGTTCGGGTAGCGAGGGGGGCTGAAGTCGGAGGGGGCGGGGTGGAGAGCTTTAGAAAGTCTTTGTTGCCTCTAAGAAGCTTGAACTTTGAGACGACCCAAAGCCCTAAAGTTTAGGGTAGGTGTTGCTGTAGGGCCACCGGCTACATCCCGTCCACACTTCGACCTCACAAGTGGTGAAGGGGGACAAACGGCCCAGTGCCAACTCTGGCTGCGGCGGAGGCGTCCCAGGGGGCGGGGAGGGGAGGCTGGGGACACGAGGTCGGGGCGTCCCGGCCTGCGCCCACATTGCTGCCTTTTGGAGCCCAAGCCCTACTCCGGTTGCAAGCTCCCAGGAAAGCGCAGAGCTGGCGAGAAGGTTTGCAAGTCCTAGATGTCTTTCCCCCTTTTCCCTGCTGGAAAGGACAGCTCACAATCTTAGGGTTCGGTACTGGGGGTGGTAAGGGAAGGTGGTGGCCGCAAGGGAGGGTGAGTTCCGCTTTCGGGGATGTCCGGGTCCCGGGAACCAAAGATCCAAAGGAAATGATGGAATCTCACTCTCTGCCTTCGTCCCGGTCCCTAGCCACCGCTGGAGAGGACACTGCACCAGCGCCACTCTCTTCCCGGCGACCGTGGACCCGTGGGGGGCGGCGAGCGTCTCCCAGGCCCCACCGCCCCAAGCCACACCGCGTGTCGGGGCTCGAGCCCGGTACCGAGGACCCGGCTGCACGTGTCGGGCTCGGGCTTCGCCTTCGACTCTTTTCTCTCGCTGCGCCCTGGGGACGCAGAGTCCGGGCGGGCGCGTCTCGCCACCCTTGATGCCACCCTCTTCTCCCGCGCCCCTCTTCTTTTCCCCAAGGAAGGAAAACACTGTAGGATTCTTGCCATTGCTGGGGAGCCTGCTGACTGCTTTTGCTCCTGTGCGGGGAAACGATTGGGGAGCTGGGGCCCCCACTAGGGAAAGCACCTCCTCCCCAAACCCCTGCGCCTGCAAAAAGGGACACTGGCCATCCCGGGGAAGAGAGCACTAATCGCTGAACCAGGAGACAAACACGATTACCAGCTCGGAGCTCTGAGTCAGAAAGTCCCATAGACTTTAAGATGTTAATCCGCGGCATAATCCTTCCTTTGGCGTGTAGGAATAGCGCGGCCACAAGAGTTGTTTTGTTATTTATATTGGCGTTTAATAAAACTCAGCCTGGGCTGAAAGGCTGCCCCCTCTCCTATGGTAATTAATTCCCTATTTCTGTGACCCAATTGTCGGCGGACAGAGCGGCGGCCGCGCGCCCTGGGCCCCGCGCGGGACGCTGCCCTCGTGCGCCCACAGCGACGGAGCGCTTCCTTTTGATGTCATTCAACGAGTTTTCCTTGGGCATCTTCTAAACTTCAAGGACCCTTTTCTTCCTGCATTTCATGAAAAGCAGTGCGAGCTTGACCACCTCTGTAGGATTTAATGATTCGGTGAAAGGCCCTTTGGGGTTTGTGTAAGGAGTGAGACAGACAGAAAGGAGACTTGGCGTTCTGCTCGCTCGCTCGCAGCTCTGTCCCCAACCTGGGAACACAAACTTATTCAGAGAAACGGATAAAGACCTTCAAAGCTGATTCCCCCTCTCCTCTCCACGCCTCTCCTTTCCCCACGAAGGAACACAAAAACAAACCGAAAAGCTCACCGCGTTCTCTTCTGAAGATCAGCGCATTGTGGTTTGTTGCTGAGGTACATTAAAAGGGTGCGGGTGGGGCTAAGAAGTTTGGATCCTGAGCAGAGCTTTCTGAATTCATACCTTTGGAGCTAAGATATCAGTTTACGCCTTGAATGTATTCACTAAATCTTCCGTCCTTCCTACATCCAAAATGTACTTAAAGAGCGCTTTCCAAGCCCCGGAAAACACTGTGATGCACAACACAGACGCGTCTTTTCCTGCGCAGCGCACCCAAGAAAGATGCTTGGAAACCCAAAGACAAAAAGATTTGAAAGGAGCGCAGTGGCGCACGGCCGTAATTCCAGCACTCGGGAGGCTGATGCAGGAGGATCGCCTGAGTTTAAGGCCTGTCTGGGCTACATAGTGAGTTCAAGGCCAGCCAGGACTACGTAGGAAGACCCTGTCTCAAAAACTATATGGCGATTAAATGTTGTATGGGCAATAGAATAATGTGTTACAAGGGACTGAGCGCGAGGGTACAGTTTATTTTCAGGAAGTCAAAGAGATACCTTTTTTTTGAGACAGGGTCTCGCTATGTAAACGAGGCTGGCCTCGAACGCGAAGCGACCCTGCCTCAACCTCCCAATTGGTGGGACTACGGGAGTGCTCCACCACTTGCGTCTAGGACCCCAACATTCAAGGTCGACCCTTCTAGGAGATGCATTCATTCATTCTTCACCGCCCCCGCAGGCCTCCTGGAGCGCCGCGCAAGGCGCACTGGAGACAGCTCCGGAGCACCCGCCCGCCCGCCCGCCGCGCCCCCCACCCGGAGGGAGGGAACCAATGCAGCGACTCCGGCCGGCTGGCGGGCCGCGGGCTCTGGGCCGGGAGGGGTGGCCGCGGCGGGCGGTGCGCCGGCCTGCGCACTGCTCCAGCAGCTCAGCTACGTCTTTATCCGCGCTTCCAAACCCCGCGCAAGTCACAGAAACAATTCCGAATTCAACTAAGAAAATACAGAGCGAACCATATGGCCTGGGTGGCTCGAGTCGGCTGCATTCGCCTCGAGACAAAGGAGGGATTGAGCGTCGAAGGACAGGAGAAAGAAACCGACTTTCCGGCTGATGAAGCTGTTGTGCGGAGGCAGTGATCCCCAATCTGAAGGCTTTATCCGCGCAGCGTCGCGATTAGCGCGTCCTCCCCGCCGCCGGCGAGAGCCCGGCAGCCTGCGCCGAGCTGCGCTTAGCATCTGAAAGCGAGGGGCCGGGCAAGCGCGCCGGAGCGGTTTGGTCTCACTCCTGTTGCGCTCTAATGGGTTGTTGATTGAGATTTGGGGCTGCGACCCGCGTGCCAGCAGTGATGTAAAGGAGGCGTCCAGGCCCAAGCGCTTCCTCGCAGTCCCTCGGCTCCGGGTCGCCCGGCCCTCGCGGGCTGGGCGGGCGGGCTTCGGAACAGAACAAACCCAACCCGGCAGGGAGGGCGCCCCCTGCAGCCCCCGCCGCGCCGCAGCCTCGG